ATTTCAGCTGGTAAAAAGATAACTGACTGAGTTATTCTATTGACACTCCTTCCTGGACTTGGTAATCCATGGACTTCAGCATAATTTTCTAGAAAATTTTTTACCACTTCAGCAACACTTTTGTCAATCACCATCTTTGTTTTCCATTGAGGCATCCTTTTAATATTACCATGAACTCTTGTTAAAAGACCATGGTTTATCAGATGATTTCTGATGTTTTCAAAATAAGTTCTACCAATTCCCAACATATTGAAATAAGTTTCTTGACAAAGAGGTATATTGTGATCCCAGTGATAAAAAGTTCTTTTATTAGATCTGGTTTTCTTTTTAAGGCGTCTACTGGTGCTTATTGATCCACCATCCATTGCTTTAATCTGTGCCATTAAAAATATGTCTTGTTCTATTTTAGAAAGAGCTTGAAAGGACTCCCTTAATTCTGCAAATTCTTCCATAGGAATTCTTGAAGAACAACTACAACCACAACCACAACCTTTTTCTAAAAAATCAATTGCTTTTTGATATTCATTAGAACCATTATATTTATTATTACTTTTCATATACACCTATCCCTATATATATAATTTTATGTTCACTTTGTATGTTTTTCTAGGATTGTTTAATAATTTAGCATTAAAAATGGATGAAAAATCTGTCCAGTTTATCATGAAATGCTTGTCAACCTTGACCAAAGAAATACAAATAAGGAAATTGTTTGCATAAAAAACTACGAACCTTTCTTATATGTATGTATATTAGCTTTAGTTTTACAAATATATCATTTTTGAATTTAATTGGGTGGAATTAAGAGCGATTATGATTGGCATGTATTTAAAAAGGGAAAATAATATGTACACATGCTATGATCTATTTTTTTTATTGTGTTAAAAATAACGGGATTTGAATTGGGGTTAATTCGCTAAAATTTAATCCCCGGAGTAATCTATTTTATTATTATTTTATTGTGTATATTAATATTATTATTAATTATTTTTTGTAACACGTTATGTTGTTCGCTGTATTTAAAAGTAAAGTTGACTTGATACACTTGGGTTCTCCGAAATTTTGCTCTAGTGTGCCATTTGATTTAATAAAATCTATTTGAATCTACTAAAACAAATAAACAAAGGATAAATTTGTTATTTATCAAAAAAAGAAATAAAGGAACTTTAAAGTATATAAATAAACATGATTGATGTATCGAAAAATTTTTTGCAACATTAAAAATCATTAAACTTTATACATTTAACGATATTGTTTTGAATAAATTCTTTAAAAACAATGCTGTTTAAATTGGCTACTACTTGTGTTATCGATTCAATAAAGGAACAAAATCAATTATTTCGCAATAAAAGCTATTTGTTTGTTTGTTTATCATTGTTTTTTTGATTTTAGTATTAATGCATGGTTTCTATTCATAATACAGTCAGAACTCATTAAACCAAAGTCAATATTTTCAAAAAAAACTTTGATTTAAAAAACCTTAATAAAATCGGCTTATTGAGGTAAATTTGATAGGTAGGTAGATAATAAAACAACATTGGTTTATCGTGTATATTTGGTTTATCAAAGCGTTGTCTTAATGAGTTCTAACTGTATGTTTATTCGTTTAATTCGTTTAATTCGTTTAATTTGTTTTATTCAAATTACTATTATTCATTTTATTTGAATTATTTTTTACTCAAATTGTTTGTTTTATTCAAGTAAACCTTATTTGAATAGAAACTACTCAAGATTATGTTATTATTTTAGCACAAAGAGCTTTAGAAATATTTAACCAATAATTTAATTAAGAGTTATTGGCCAATAATTAACTAAAAAATAGGATTAATTTTAGAAGAATATCTGATAATTTCAACATTTACTAATAGGCTTTTAGACTATATGATAAAAATACTAAGAATATTATTACCTTGATTATTTTTTCAAAGAATATTAGTCAGATTTCAGATTCTGATATTTACTGATACCCCATTATCCAAGTTGGCATCATTCAACCAGTAAAAGAGAACCAATTGGTTATATACAAGCAAAGAAAGATGGGACCCTAAATTAACACAAAAGAATTTTAAATCATGCACAAACATAACAGCTTGATAGCTTGATTGACATAGTGGTGCAGTCTTGGGTTCCATGCAATTTTTTTATTATATAATTAATTATATATCTTAATAAAACTTAGCTATTTAATCATTTCCTTGTATGTGAATGCCTCCATCCATCAAATATTCATGATAGTCATGATCATTATTCAATATATTTGATGTTATAATTGACATAGCAAACCATTGCATCACCCAAGTAGTAATAACACCAAGGCCATGCATAAATGAAGCTTTTAATAATGCATGTTTACCCAGATTTCTGGGTTCACAAAACAAATGAATAATAGATCTATTCCTCCTTTGGACCAGGTTGACTGGAGGATCAAAAAAATTCATTTTTTCTTCCAATTATATAGTTCCTTATGAATAGAATAATAAACCTGATGATATTAATTACAGGTGTCAGATTTAATAAAATTTTCTTGTCACAAACATGCAATCGCGATGCAATTAAGCACAATTCAGCACTGTGGAATTTTTTTCCACAGGTGAAGGAGGGTTGAACATGTTGGAGGCTTTGGACAGGTGACAACTTCAACAAGGGCTGCCGTAAAGTGGGCAAAAACTTTCCCTTATTTTCCCCTCAGTCCAGGCTGGCTGTTTCCATATGGGCATTGATCACTCATGAGGACCAGCATTTGTGTGATGATTGCTTTGTGTTATCACCCTCTAGAATAAAGTTGGTGTTAAGACTGGTACAAAATTCTGCAACTCGGGAAGTTGCAACCTGGGTTGCTGTTTTAGATTTTCCCTAAATTAGGCACACCAACATACCAACAACCCTACCCCATTTAAACAACAAGTTCAGTTGGTCAAATAAAAATTAGAGAAACAGAAAATTTATGAAAATGATTAACTTATTTGTACATAACATACCAAACAAGATCTGAGTCATTTTATTTTACAGCTTTCACCTTGATGCCAGTGATCATGGTGACTATCACAATAGGAGTGGGCAGAGTCGAACTGCCACCTTTATACTTGTAAGATACATGCTCTCATTGAGCTACACTCCTCTATCCTAGAGTGGGTTATATGGGCAAGAGCCCCCATTTAAAAAATAACAAATTCAGTTGCTCAAATAAAAATTAAACGAACAGAAAATGATTAATTTATACATAACATACCAAACAAAATCTGAGCCATTTTATAACTTTTTTCTTGTTGGCTAATATTGCTGACAAAGATATATATAATGTGATAATTTTAATCTATAGGATTGGCAAAACCCCCTACCCAAAATTATAAATTGGTTAGTATCAAAGAAACAGAAAATTTAGGAAAATAACTATACAAAACAAATGCTATTTTACAACTTTCCTCTTAACATTAAAGCCCAAATGCAATTTCAGAGTCACTAATGTGCTTGAAACAAGTTGCAGGTTCTCTTAATATTCCTCCAGAGTTGCAACAGCTTGGTCACAGAACCATCTTTACCTAGAGGTAGGATCATTGCGGGCAGCTTGTCAGCTTTCTCTGGTCTGGTGCTGTGAGGGAAGGTTATCAAAAGTGTCATTGACGATTGATGCAGTTTTGATGCAGCTCCAGAGCTTTGCGTCCCCCCCCTGGAATTCCGCTGCATCATTGTATCATCGGGAGAAACGTGGTCAGATTAGCCTTGTATACACAAAGAACATATGAGAATGACTGTAAAGTGTTCAAGGTAGTGTGCGTGCTTTAATGTCCGTAAATTCCTGATAATCAAATGTTGCATATCGAAATGTTTCATATTTGGATTGTTTCTTTTTCAACAGCGTGTTGCCTTAACATCTTGTAATAAATATTATTAATAATATTATTATTATTAATGATTGCAAAAAGCAAAATACCATCTTGACAAGGATCTTATAATTACCCAGTGAGATCTGCTCTGCATTTTGATTTCAATTATAATATTTATAATAACTAAATAAAAGACACATCAATGCAAATTAAAAAAAAGTACCTCTGGTTAGTTATTAACACATCTTTAGGAGACTCACGTTTTGTCATCGTTAAAAAGTAATAGTAAATTGTTTTTCAAAAAAAAAAATCAATCGCGTCAACAAAAAAAAATAGGGGGTTCCATACATAAATAATTATTAGTACGCGAAATCGAAATACTTTGGGTGGGTGAAATTCTGATTGGCTAATTTGAATTTCACATAATTTCCATTTTCACGTACATCACATCATCATCCACAAAAATTTTAAACAAAAATTTTTTTAAAAAAAATAAACTAAAATGCCAAAAGAAAAGAGAAGGAGATTAAAAGAAACAAAACGAGGAATGAGTAAGTGTTGTTTATCATAAGAATAGCGGTGGTTATCGCCACTCTATATAGTTGATTTAATTAATTTATGTTGTATTATTTCTTATTAGTGAAATTAAAAAAATATCCAAACGATCCAAAGTATGTCAAAGAAACTTTTTTTTTTTCTGAAATACTTTAAGCATTTCAAATAACAAAAAATCTAAATGCACATTACAACCCTTTATCAGGTCCAAAAGTCAATGATTTTAATTTCATGGAAAAAACAAGCCAATTGAAAATTATCATAAAATTATTGAAGAGTTGTGATCCCGGTATACATAAATATATAAACGATTTTAGTGACTTTTTTACAAGCAATGACAATAATAATAAGTCTGAAGATTTGTGTGAGAAGATTAAAATGCTAGAAAAAGAAGTAATCCAAATGAATAAGCGCATACTATGTTTTAAATCAAAATTACGTGTTGAAATGGATATCAACGAGGAACTGGCAAAAGAAAATGATGAACTAGCAAAAGAAAATTATGAATTGAAAAAGCAACTATTAAGTTGTAAAATATGCTTGAGCGAGGAAATATCCCATTGTTTTTTGCCGTGTCATCATTTGGTCTCGTGTGAAGAATGCGCTCGTAAGGTTAAAAATTGTGTAATATGTCGTGCGGGGATCGTTTCATGTATCAAAATTTATTTTTAATTTATATAGTAATAGTCTCTTCATTAATTAGTTGTCGAAATTAGAAGAAATATAAGATGATTATTAATTAGGTTGTTTAATATTTGCTAAAAAATAATTGTATAAATAAAGTCAATATTGATTATTGTCTATAATTGTGAAAAAGGAAGGTCAATGATTTTAATTGTTATGATTTAAGCATAAAAACAATCAACAAAATTATAGTCATCACAACACTACCATCTTAATTAAATCATGGTCATCATGATGCAGGAAACCAATTCCAGGACATCGTATAATTAAAATAACTGGTATGCAAGACAGTTAGTAAATCTACCTTGTTAAGATTTTAAAATTTACCCCATTTTTACACTGTAGTATATTTAAAGCTATCAATTTGCCCATTTTTTTACATGCCAGTTAATCAAATTTTCATTTATAACCAAATAAAAGGCATTCTTATTTAAATTTAACTAATACATTGAAGTAAAGTTTTAATGGTGTTTTCTTCATTTATAAAAATTTATACATGCCCAAATTTCAGAATGCAGTGTAATTGATTGAGAACTACTTTGATAATTAATATTAACATCAGATCTCCTGTAGCCTACATAATAATAATTGTTAAATATCTCTTTACATTATTATATCTCAGCATGTATCCAACCAGTCGGGATGAAATAATTTGTATTAGTACTTATTTGAATTCTAGATTGTGTAAAAATGAAAATATTTTAATAGATTACACAATTTTGAAAGATGTATATTTTTGTAGCTTACTGAATCTTGACCAAATTGAACAAACTTAGATGCAAAGAAAGCCCGAATTCTAATATGCATTGTATCCAAATTTATATATAATTAACTACATTATTAATATTAAATATAGTTAACTACATTATTAATATTAATATTGATTTTAAAATCACGATTTGTTAACACTTTTAAAAATTATCTCATTATTATGTTTTTCCAATTATAATAATAATAAATATAATGGTTCTAATGAATATCAAAAAGCAATTGGTTTTTTAGAAAAAGGTTGTGATTGTGGTTGTTCTTCAAGAATTCCCAAAGAACAATTTGCAGAATTAAGGGAATCTTTTCAAGCTCTTTCTAAACCAGAACAAGACATATTTTTAATGGCCCAACTTAAGTCAATGGATGGTGGATCAACAAGCATTAGCAGATGCCTTAAAAAGAAAACCAGATCTAACAAAAGAACTTTTTATCATTGAGATCATAATATACTTCTTTGTCAAGAAACTTATCTCAATATGTTGGGAATTGGTAGAACTTATTTTGAAAACATTAGAAATCATTTGATAAACAATGGTCTTTTACCAAGAATTCATGGTAATATTAAAAGAATGCCTCAATGGAAAACTAAGATGGTGATTGA